GCTAAAGCGTTTTTATTTGCCTGTTTCGTGTGAACTGCTTTTATCTGCATTCTTCAGTTTCTCTCTAGTAGATCTCCACATGGAGGATTGTTTATTTATGAAGTGTGATCATCATTGTCTTGCTAACTTGCCTACAGTATCATGTTTTCTATCTTGAGTAGTATCATCCATGAAAAAGCAAACACAACGGACCAATAAAAATACAATGGACTAAAAGTTTAAAAAGTGTAACAATAAAAAGGACAATATTGTTACGCGGAAGAAGAGTGATTACGAAAACATCAAGAAATCAAAAACGAATACATATCTCTCAGTAAAATTCACACGTTTTGTTTACAGAACATCTGTTTAATTCTTACAAATCGTTTCCCATGGTCATTTGGCAGATCTGTTCTTTCCTGTAGTGTTGTTTTCCCCTCTATATCACCCTAATCCATTATTCCAGGTATCCACAGAGCAGCACGTTAATCCACGAGTGGCTGCGGTCAGCAGGAGGGTGCGGGCTAGTTCAGTCCCTCCTCAATCCCGCCCCTATCCTGGGCTACAAGTCCAGCAGCAACAATATTCTCAGGTAGCCAATCTTGTGCCTACTAGAAGCTGTCTCATTCTCTAGGGATCTCTTTCTGTTTAATATTAGTACCTAATACTGTCTGTAGATATGTTAATAGATATGTCACTGCTTCTAAGCCAGTCGTTCTATCGCAGGCAGAGGCTCCTTGGTACCTTAGAGCTCGAGGTGGTTCGCTGCCACCGCCCGATTCTAGAAGCGTCCGTGCCACATCTGTTCCGCCACGACCCAGGAAAGCTCCACAGGCTTTCAAACAGCCAGAGCCACTCCCAACCGCCAATCTTCGAGCTCACAGGCCCGTGGACGTACGGTCAGATGTCCTGAGAGCGGTCAGAGCAAGATCCCTTGAACCAGCTCGTAGGTCTGATTATCAAGCAGACTTGATTTACCAGTCGTCAATCCCTTCGACTCAGCTTTGGGCTCACAGGCCCGTAGTTCTGAGAAAAGATGCCGGTCTTCTTGCCAGAGCTAGAGCTTCAGAACGGCAATCTTACCCAAGAAGTATCTGGAGCCCAGTTCGTGTGTCCAGCAGCTTTGACAGAGCGTCTGACTATTATTTCAAGATCCCTGATGTTCAAGAGCGATCTGTGACTAGATCCGTCTACAGCCAGCGAGGGAGGACCAGTCTTGACTCAAAACCTCCTCGTCCATTGATTGGGAGCTACTCTAAGGTTAATATACTTTGGAAATTTCTGGGTCAAGCAACCTTGCTAAATATTCACAGCACGATATGCTTTTTTAAATGCAGAAACTTCGTATATGACTGTTGTGGAATTAAGTAAATATTTTAGCAAGAGCTTTTGACGGTATCACTGTTTAATTTAAAAAAAAAAATTTAAAAAAAATCTTTCAATATTTGTTAAAGTACCGCTAGCAATAAAGGTAAATTATTGGTCAGTATCTTGGCGTTTGTGATATATGCAATGTTAGTTTCTAAATTTTTCTCTACCACTTCACCAACACAGTCATATGCTTGAAGATTCTGCTTATGAAGACTAAAAAAATGGGGGGGGGGGGGGGGTGTTTCATCTGCTGTGTCTGTATTTGCTTGCACAAGATTGATAGCTGCAAATGTCCGCCATGCTCTCAAAAGCGCTACAACTATTGTTTCGGAATGTTGTTCCATGTATACCAGTTTTCTAGAGCTTCTCATCGTATATGTGGCTATTATGAAGACATCTCATCTCAATACCACGAGCTCAAAACACGTTTTCAACAACTGAGGTTATCTTTATGACATCAAAACTAAGCAGCATTAAGTGTCAACACATTCACTCTGTGTTTTCCAAATTAGCACACGACAATTTGATAATCAGTGATAACTATTTAAATACATAAATACTTCCGGGTGTCTTCATGAAGCCAATTTTCTTATCTCCTTGCAATTCTATCTTTGTGTCGTGTCTGTAATAATTCTCCTGCTGGTTTCACTAAAACATGTGTCCTCAAGCCCTATATCATGTTCGGCATTTAATTTGCATGCTTCAGAAGGAACGACCATCTCATTTTCTCATCTTTGAACTAAACTGTACACATTTAGAGGTGTGGAAGCGATTTCCCCTTCTGCTATATTGTCTTGTACTCTATGCATTTTGCTGTCCTTGTGGCTTATTGCATGTGGCGAAGGAGAGATACATCGGCGGCAGCATGCTATCAATCATGTGGGCATTTTATCATCTCAGAGTTGCTTGACCTAGGTGTACTCCATTGTGCTGTTGAATGCGATACCTTCGTCTCGTCATTTGCTATAAGGATCTTTCGGCTTTACTGATAATCGTGGCAGTGTAAGATTTATTGCAAGCAATGTTCGCTTTCCTGGCTTAACGGCACGGCCACCTAATAAACCTGATAATTTTCTTTTTTATACCGTAATTGGAAATCGGATATTTGAGTGTATCGGTGCTGGTCTTGGCGCTTTCTGTGTTCGTTCCTCCATTCCTGCTTGCCACGACAAACCTAGGCTGCGTACCTCTTTATATACTTGCATACTAACTAGACGTGGCACGAAGTTAGAAATCAGCTGATGTAGCATTAAGTGAATGCATTTAAAGACATTTTTCTAATTATTTGATTATAAATTGAGTAATATTATTGAGTAATAAATATATATTAAAGATAATGAACATTTCTTAACTTACATAATTATACTATTTCTTTATAAAAATAAATAATGCATTTAATATTCTATTACAACTGTTAAATTTCAATCATAATTCAATATTTACAATCTGGTTTAATGTAACCATTTACTGATAAATTAACAGAAATTGTAATACTAAATTTCCTTAAAAAAAAAAAAAAAAAACGATAAAGATTCCCTTCTTTTCAATCGATTATGGAAAAAGTTTCTACACAGTTCTGAAAAAAATAAATAAATTATTGTATGGAATGAATGACGCGTAGGTAAAGTAGCATAGCATCGTGCATTTGGAGTCTTCGTGGCACTAACAGAAAAGTGAACAAAGAATGCAAATGACTGATGGTGTTGGGTTCTGCTCTGCCAGGCGGCAATCATCGGCAGTAGGCTGGAAGCATCAGATGTTGGCAGGAGCCATAGAAGACCTCGTTCGGAGTATGCAGCCAACAAGCTACGTGAGCTGAAGTGAGAGGACCCCGAGGTAAGGTCGTTGTCAAATAATTTGAACCAAGCCGGGCGGCTGACCACCCGACTTTCTAGAGAGAATGTCAGGAGAAGAAAGAAAGAATGTTCTACTTTTTGCTGATAAATATCCCGTCATGTGGTCACGTGACCATCGTAGGCGTTTCTCGAGACCTAAGGTAATAATGGAGCAATACGCGCAGTACGCTAGTTAATTTAACGTCGCTAGTTAACCGTTTAGTACTCCGTCGCAAGCTCGTAAACCGTGCGGTTTTGAATATTTGAAAGTTGAAAGAGCTTTTGTATTTTCACGCTCCGACACAGAACGACTGGTTCAGAGGCATACACGTTGTTCTCTGTATTGATTTCCAATATGTTCTTGCTCATGCCTATGTCTTTCATACTAACAAAGTTGACATTTATTGAAGTTAATCATTGCTGGTTGAAATGAATTTTCATATTATATAATACTGAAAAAGTCAGTAATTATTGTCATTTTTCTTATACTGTGCTATCTTTTACATGTGTATTTGGTGTGTATAGATAGTTATAAACACATACTCACGCTTACGTAAAACATACATACATACATATCTCATATTATATTTGGATATATTGTTTATTTTACATTTAAACTGTTTCTTCATGTTTCTACTAACCATATCATTTGAATTGCTTACCTTTCTTTTGTTGATCGCTCAAAAATATTTCAGTTAAATAAGTACCATGCTGTCACTGAAGCTTTATTGCTTCTAAAATTATACATAAATTACTATAGACGTGTTATAATATTTGTGGGTGTTGTTTAGAGTTAATTATTCTAGAAACACTATTTTATTTATGCTGAATAGCAGCAGGCTAATGGGTGGTATTTGTACACTAAAAATGGAAGTATTTGAGATGCGTTTTATCCTACCATTATTAGAGAATCAAATAGGTAGGATTCCGCTGATAAAACCAGTCAGCTAATTACTACCATTAGCCATTTTATTTACAGTAAACAATATATATATATATATATATATATATATATATATATATATATATATATATATATATATATATATATATTATATTATGCATCAGTTGCCTAGTATCAAACACCGATCCCTAGCTTAATGTTTTGCTTTATAACTGGCTAGTTTAAATAATTATTTTATTCACGTAAATGATTATATGTTATGGTTTGTTGACGTGTGTCTATGGAAATACATAAGAGAGAAGAGGACGCTGGTAGGTTAAAGTGTAACGATACAGATAAATGGTACAGTCGCCCTCTATCTGTACACTGAGCCTGGCTCTTTAATATAATACACACACAACTAGGAAGTAGATGCATTTCATTTCAGGAAGGAATCTACTATCGAACACCCAGTTCTAGTGCTCTTTATGCTTCAAGGCCGCCACTGGTAAGTTCATCACACAAATAATCCACTTAAAAAATATATGTTGTCTAATTATTAGTTGTAATGTATTTACATAATATAAGTTAGGTTTTTGTTCGTCATACCATTTTAGCATTTTAAAAACTTGGCCACGCCTCGACTTTGCCGGAATTGCGATACCTGTTACGATATTTTTAGTCTTACCTTAAAAAAAAATGTTGTGGGGAGTTTCTACTGTCAATAGCTCGACGTTTACACACCTCTGCACCTAAGTCTTTCCCTTGCTTAAAAATCCGAAAGGTTACAATTGTAGACAAATCGGCAACAGGCTATTAGAATTATTGTTGCCACCTGTGTCATGATATGTCACAAAACGGCACCCATATTTGTTTACCAGGTGAGCATTATCTGAAAAGTTAAGGCTAAACTGAAACAAGGCTTTGGATTGAATTGACGTCAACGTTTACATTTCAGAGTACGCTTATATTCAACATCATACGAAAGGAGGTGGGTGATATGCGAACAAATAGTTTAGCTAGCTCTGCCACTATACCAGAACATCAGCAAATAGATGTTTTCTACATGATGAAGGTCTTTGTAGGCTAATCACACACAGAACTCGAATGGATTTGTTAAGAAGAGACGTTTTTGACATGTTTATAGTTCAGTAAAAACAATCCACACAAAACAGTATAGTACTATGTGAAACTCTACTTTTTTTTTTTTTTTTTTAAACGTATCCAGAAACCATGAGTTGTAAACCCTTGGCTATGTACTATGAAAACCCTTCGGCATTGATTCTCTACAGGCTTTTCTGCACTCCCACACGTGCCCCAAAGTCAGGTTCAACCAACTTCGCTAGAGAGCCGGGCGTGAAACTCTACAGGCTTCATTCCCACACGTGCCCCAACCACTCTGGCTTTCCGCTTTATACATCATCTGTATATGAAATTGTTTCATTTCGCTCATGTAAGATTCACATTCTGCCACATTTGGGTACAAAAATAGCATATATCTCTGAGATAATCGCTTTATATAATTTATCCTTAGATTAAAAAAAAGTGACCTATGCTCCCAGGTCGATCCAGCCCTAATTGGGTACCAGGTAAAGTCCTAGTAAGTAGAGGCGACAGGAATGATGCTGACTACATGATCCACCAAATACAGATTGGTCTATAAAATAAAGATCTAGCCGTATATGCCAAACATGCGCCAGTTCAGATGAAAAGGGTCCTAATATATTGTTAATAACTGAAATGCCGCTGCAGTTGATTTCTGTCATTTTAAGTGCTTGTTTTCATATGGTCGTTTCCTGATTAAAATTTAAGTCAGTTGCTCTACTTTGGTGACGAAATATTCGCAGACATATGTTATGAACAGAAGATAACAGTTAACAGATATCTGCTCAATATTTACAGAAATCTAGTCACGCATATTTCAAACTGTATTTAGCTGGTTTAAATATACATGTAACAAACTCCTCTAAAGTGCTGATTTATTCTGGAAGTTTTGATTGGATGTGTTCTTGTGATTGATAAACATCCGAGCTAGTAATTCAATGTGAAACGATATATAAATAATAAACAGACAAAATCACGAAGTGCATCACATTCCATGCAACTGTTATTATTAAGTTTAAAATAGTATTTAAGCAGATAGTTTTTTTTTTTAAACTTGAGCATTCGTATAGTTATTTTAACATGACCATTCGTATAGTTATTTTAACTTGAGCATTAGTAAAGTTATTTTAACTTGAGCATTCGTCAAGTTATTTTAACTTGAGCATTCGTCGAAATTGAGGTCTGTTCACATTCCTCTGAATCGTGTCCAACCATAGTTTCTAACAAACATAACTCTACAGGCCAAGATGCCAGTCTGTCTTGTATTTTGTCTTTGTCTTTTCCGATCAGGCTTTATGTCCAGTTTGCCTCGTTTCTCAACAACCTGTTTTCATTTCTTGGCGAGACTTGTCCAAAGAATAAATATTGTCTTTCTCTGAAACTAGTACCCTTTGACAGTTGACTTCTTTTAATATATCCTATTTGTTTAGAATTTTCAATTATTTATTTGTTTTCGTCATTCTTCTCTGAGACCAACTCTCCAGTTTCGACACAACTTACTATGCTAGTGAATGTCCGTGATTCACTTCCATTAAATTGGACTGACACAGTAAAGATCTTAAGCCCTTGTTTCCCATCCACAGTTGAGAAAGATGTATTGCATAACATAAGTTTCATGTAAAATCTGAATGTGCTTGGGTTATTCCATAAATCACATCTTTCATCTGTAGTCAGCTAGATGCTCAAGTACATGAAAACGTTGATTTGCTTCAGATTAATTCTGTTTAATTTGATGATCTATTATGGAAGATATGTTGTTTCCCATCTATAGATTTTAAAATAAATTTGTCTGTTTTTGTAAGGGAAAATCCCCAAAAAACTAAGTACCCTTTTTATGACAGTATCTACTGTTTCTTGTCTTCACCTCCGATTATACAAATGTTCTACATGGATTACCTGTCTCATTTAAGCATATATTGTCTCTGCTTCTTTATAACATTTCAACTTAAACATCAGTTTTGTAATATAAAATCAATACAATTTGCAGATCTGTAACCAAAACGTTTTTGCAGTCATCTCAGTCATCCAAGTAAAAATAAATGTCAGCATGTAATTTTTTTTTCCTGCAATGTGCTTGTTTGTACATCTTTAACATGTGCCTACACTGTGTCGTTATCTCTGTGGATTGCCTGCCTTCCATCTGTTTAGCCCAAACCGACTGACAGAAAGGCGATCAGAGATGTGGATGGCTTCACGAGGCCCAGAAACCTCTTGTCTTGGCAGGTAAGAAAAATCCTGCCATATAGTAACAACACTTCCATGACCGTTTTATACTGATTGTTGTTCGTGTACCATTCAGATACAAATAAGTACAATAAACACACACATCGATATGACACCTCTATACATAATGTAGTAGATTTTGGTTAAAACGATGAGTATTAAATCAATCATTATTAAAAGGAGACTTCTTTATCATTCATGATAACAATGCGAAAAGTTTTTTTTTTTTTCATTATAAAATAAGAAAGCTAACTACTTATTCATCAGTTGATAAGTTTGTTAGTTAGTTGACACATCGTCCTCGTTGCATATGGAATCATTCAATCCAAAAGTGGTCAGATTTCCTGCCTGAAGTCACTGTCGATACAAGTTCTATATTTTGCTATCGGGATTTCCTGTACAATGCTCTTATTGTATTTGGTCACACCCTGTTTATTTAACTCACTGTTCTTGTAGTGTGATCCTGGTTTCAGATTCATATTCCTCACATGGTTGATAAGTTTATAATCTATGGGAGCATTTCAAAGAAACAGGTTTGTTTATAAGACATATGTTCAATTTTTTCAACTGAGGAAAAAAAAATATGGTGGTTCATACCATAAAAACAACTTTCGTGTAAATATTTCCTCTTAATTCCAAGCAAAGTACTTTTTGTTGGGGGTCAAAAGTTAATATATTTGTGACGTGTTGACCTCGCCCACAGTACCGCGTGGAGTCGAAGTTGTCCCCTGACGACCTGATTTACGAACCGTCCCGTTTCATCCGGATGAGAGAACAGGTCAAAGACATTCAGGAAAAGATGGACAAACAGCGACAGTTGTTGGACCGCTATCTGGACAGCGACTTCAAGATCACGCCCAGCACACCAAGGAAGTACGACAACACATATCATTTATAACAACTTATACAGTTTATAATAATATCTAAAGGAGCAGAAGTCTGGCATGCCTATCCTGCTTGGCTGAATAACTGCATAAAAACAAACATTCGCCAAACTGGCATGGCTTATTAACTGCTTATATGGGGTTTTTAGTCCCAGCGTTGTATGCTCTCTCTCTCTCTCTCTCTCTCTCTCTCTCTCTCTCTCTCTCTCTCTCTCTCTCTCTCTCTCTCTCTCTCTCTCTCTCTCTGTATTGTATGACTTTGTTTTAATAGCGATGCACGATATGGGAAATCATTATACAACATTACCATGTCCATACTTATCCTATTTACCTCCAGGAAGACTGTACCTAACATTTTATCATTCATAGTTTTTACCTGCATTTATTTTGTTTTGGTTATGTGCGTCCAATTAGAAATTCATTTTTGTTGACTTCAGTTGCACAATTAATCGATCAATCTATTTCAATTACAGTTGTTCAACAAAAATTCCAATCTTGATCCTTTTTCAGCAGCCCAGAGGCCTGCTATATGAAGGAAGGTTCATTGGTTATCTTATTTGGTTTCCTATTATTTGTGGTGTGAAGTCACACCTGATATTCCTGTTCTTTGTCTTCCTAGTTCAATCTAGTGCCGTCTCCACGATGGAAGTTGACTGTACTGGTTCTCCGGCACGCTCTGCCTTTGGCCCTGGATGTACATTTTCTGAGTCTGCTGTTGGTTCATCTCTTGACATTATGCTTCCACTTGTTACTCCGTCTGTCTCTTGCTGGCTTCAGTGTTTCCACCCAATATAATTTTAAAAATAATGTTGTTTTTAAAATGACTGAAACAGTTCATTCGCCTCATTTTGCTGTAAATTTGACTCCAAAGCTCTGTTGTTTGAATCCTCGTCATTCAGAACCTTTATATTTTATTGTTTTGCCTTCCACAAAATATAACCTATACTTCCGTAAACTCACTTCGATCTTCTTACTGGTTGTTCGTTGTCCGAGTGTTTAGCCTGGTTGAGTTAACACAATATTTGACAAGTCTCATTTATTGTGCGTTATTTTTCTCCAGAGATGTCAGTAATTTTCGCATGCTGTTGAAAATAGTTTTGACAATTCCTATTCTCTTGTTGACTTCTACTTCCCTTCTGTCATTATCTCTTGTTATTTACGTCCAGGACAGAAGAAAAATTTTACTTGTTCCCGTTTCTTTCCGTTCAAGTTAATATTTGTGGAAGCCATTATTTTTTAATGTTAATAATAATACTAACAAGAACATTCTCTACATTGTTTGAAAAAAAATGCGTGCATGTGAAATTACGCTGAAACTCAAGTAATAGAGTCTGTTATCCCATTGTTTTAGGTTCTATAGCCATAGAACAATCCATTCTAACTAATTTTTTAACATTGTTGAATAATTTTAGCCTCTTTTTAATGTTTACATATGTTGTCGTTTTCTAGTCTACTACTCAAAGGGAAACAAATAAGATATATTTTAACACAGATCCACAGCTTATTATCACCCTTTGAAAAAAAAAGGGGAAAAAAAAAAGGGGGGGGGGGGTGTGTGGTCGCACGAACAATCGAGAAATACCATTTAGTTAATTGTTTTTATAAGTTCTAAATAAGTAGTAATTAAATTGTGTCCCATCACGACATCACACAGAGCGACAAACACCCGGTAACACAAAGTGACACCATACGGATAAGGATCACCCATGGAGAGGCCCCGGAAACCCCGTTGAACCGTTAGGTTATATTAGGGCAGCCGGTAACAGCCATGGCGGGGCTTTAAAATAACGAAAAATTGCATCCCACAAAGGGACGACTTATAACGCGTTCTAAGTGTTATTTCTATAACAATATTATTATTATAATAGAATGTTTTAACCTCTTGTATCTGGTATCGGTTATCATTGGACACGACAACAAATATGTTTGTCACTATTGTTTACAGAAGCTAAAAATTTTTACTCAAGGAAATAAACAGTGCGCATGCAGTCTTCAGTTATAATGAAAAGTTTGGGTGGCATCGGCAGCCGGTTCGCACACTAGCCGGCCAGTAGACGACCTCGTCACCGGTCGGGACAGTATTTGGGTATGTCCCCTTCGATCGTATCAACACTGCAAGTGTTCTTTTCAGAGCTATGCCAAATGCTTGTATGTAGCGCACATTACCTAGTCACAGTTATAACCTAACCCCCCCCACCCCCACCCCCTCCTTTTCGGCGATGCTGGTTAAACGTATGTGTTAACTGTTTGGTTAGTTTACACAGGGTATCTTCATCATGGCACAAGCGTAGTAACCCATAAGTGCTACGTTCTACTTCTAACTCAAGCCTGAGTCCGAAGAATCTCAGCGCAGAGCGCGAACTCTGTAGCACCGGCGAGGATCCTGAAATTTTTTTGGTAGATTTTAAAATCTAAATTTTGCCCAGGCAGAGCCGTGAGGCTACTATTTTCGCTTTCCAATTGCCAAGGGATTTCTTTTTTACGTGCGCATCGAGACCACTCAGACGCTAATGTGTTTATTGTACACAAATGTACAGGTACATACAACGTATCTCCGCCTAACCGCTACATGAAACTTTTGATACTCTGAGAGAAGAGAATCTCAATGGCAAGGATTTAAGAGTAGAGAATCTCGATGATGGGGGCAGTTCATCCAGGCAGTCCCAGATATCCCGTTCAACACACGAGGAGGCTATAATTAGGGCATCCCTATCAGCTACACAAGTCCAGTGTCACCTGCAGTCATGTGCGCAGAAGGATGTTACTGTACAGATGTTGATGAATCGGTCCCTTTGTTTCATCCGGGTTATTACCCAAATTTTTGCTATACCGTCCGGAGATTAAAGAATAGCAGTGTAGGTGGCAGACCAGCGGGATCAACTTACTTACTTTACTTTTACTTTTTCCTTCCACGTATGCCGCTAAGCGTTGTGGGGAGATGCAAGTTCCTGTCGTAAGCAAGGCGGGCAGCATCTGATGTTCTGAGGCCATGCTTTTGGCAGGTTTCGGAGACCCCGTCAATCCACCGTTTCCTTGGTCTTCCTCTTGCCTTATATCCTGAGCTTCTTTGGTTGAAAATTTGCGATGTTATTTGATCATTATTCATCCTGGTTAGATGTCCAAACCATTTCATTCTTTGATGTTCTATGTAGTCTAAACATGGTGTAGTTTTGACAGTGTTTCTAATGTCTATATTCTTTATCCTGTCTAGTCTAGTCTTATTCGCTGCTTTTCTTAGACATTTCATTTCACAGGCTTCTATTTTTCTTTCGTGGGTCTTGTTGATTGTCCATGTCTGGCACTGGTAGCAGAGTGTTGGAATGAAGATGGTGTTTATCAATTGTCTTTTGGTCTTCATGGTTATATCTGGATGTTTAAGCAGAGGTGATAGTTGGTATGTGACAGCATTTGCTTTCTGTATTCTTGTTTCTATCTCTCTGTCCATTCTTCCATCCTCTGTAAATATACTACCCAAGTATTTGAACTCTTTGGTTTGCTTGATTTTGGCACTTCCAACATTTATATTCAGTGGCCTGTGTGTTCTGCTGATCTTCATAACTTCTGTTTTTTCTGTACTGATTCTCATATTATGTTGTAAACAGCTGTTGTGAGAGTAGTCAGATGTTCCTGTAGATCATATTCATTTTGATACAGTATGCTTTGATCATCAGCAAAAAGTAATTCGTTTATAGCATACACGTCTGGGTTTGCTTCTACAGTGATCTTATCCATGTATGTTATGAAAAGTAATGGTGACAGTACACATCCTTGTCTGACACCAGTTGTGACTTTGAACCATTCAGAAAGACCACTAGATGTTCTTACTGCACTTTCACTTTTTTCATAGAGAGCTCTGATGTTGTCTAATAATTGACCCTGCACTCCGTAATCGTCAAGAATTCTCCACAGCACATCTCTGTCTACACGGTCGAATGCCTTCTCTTGGTATACAAAGACCACGTTTCAGCTCTTTATCGTATTCGAGTGTCTTTTCACAGACTTGTCTTAGTGCAAATATGGCATCAGTGCAACCTCGCCCTTTCCTGAAACCGAATTGTGCTTTACTCAGTAGAGGTTCAACCTTTGCTCTTATCCTACCTTCTAAGATCTTGCATACATTTTCCCCACATGACTTAGTAAAGATATTCCTCTATAAGTTCCACATTCTCTCTGTTTCCTTTTTTCTTCCAGATAGGTACTACAACTGATCTTTGCCAATCCACTGGTACCTTTCTCTCTGCCCATGCTCTATTGAAAATTCTCTCCAGCCAGGTGATCATAGTGTCCCTCCAGCCTGGATGACTTCTGTTGTTATTCCGTCGATACCAGCTGCTTTGTGTCTTTTACTTGTTTTGATAACTTTCTCTACTTCATCCCGCAGGATGTGTGGTTCTAGATGATCTGGAGCCCTTGATGGAGTTTGCTGTTTTTGTTTCCGACGGGTGTTCTTTAAAAATATTCCCATCTTTTTTAATTTCGGGTTCAAAATGGTTTTCCATTTTATCATTTATATGATGTTGGATGAAGCTTTTCCCTTAATCGCATCGCTTTCACACTCTTCTAAAAGTTCTTGATGCTGACATAGCTGTGTTAGGTGTTCACCATACTTTTTTCCATGATTCCTCTTTGGATTTCTTATGTTCTCTTGGTGTCTCTCGGGTTAGTCTGTACCTAATGTAATCTTTTCGTCTTCTGTTTTTAACCATATTTGAAACATCGCTTTTTACACTGCTTCTTACTTCTTCATTCACAAAGTCCACACTTGATGATTCTGGCAATACATAACAGAGCGTGTTTCTTGCTTTTCTGTGTAATATCTTCGTTATGGTGATTCATTCTCTTCATTCATTTGACTGGTTTTGGCAATATCTGCATTCTCTTTGTTTGATTCTCTTTTCTTTTCTTAGTGTGATGATTTCTTCACGTTTCTGTTTTCATGTAGACTGTTTCTACTTTGCATATGTTACATAACGGGCGATGGTCTGAATCCAGTCCCGCATTTGGAACAGCTTTTGAGTCTCTTACCTTCCTCTTCTGCCGTTGTCTGACTAGTATAAAATCAATTTGTGACGCTTGATCTAAGTTGTTTGCCACTTTACCACGTTTGAACCTGACTTTTTGCGGATGTTGGTAGAATGTGTTGGTAATGTAGAGATCTTGTTCAGCACACAAGTTTAGCAGGTGTTCTCCATTTCTATTGCAATCGTGGTTGTGTCGCTAAAATGGGCCAAGGTATCTCTCCCATGGTGATCTTCTTTTACCTACCCTGCCATTAAAAAATCTCCCATTACTATGATGTCCCCTCTTTCTCTTACCATTGTGATGGTGTCCGTAAGTCTCTCGTAAAAGTCTTCTTTTTCTTCTTCAGAATAACTGTCATTGCAAGGTTGCATATATCTGAATAATCGTTGTAGTTTTTACTTCCTTCTGTCAACTTGATTAAATTCCTTCTGATACTGTTCCTGTTATTAATTTTGCCTGTCTCGGGATGAAGTATAAATCCGACACCATGTTTTTGCCCTATCTTTAGTGGGTACTAGCCGCTCCATAATAAAACATAATTTTCATGTATTTCTTTTGTATTATATCCTTTCTTCTTGTATCCGCAAGACCCATGACGTGTTATTTTTTTCTTTTCATGAAATCCACTATTTGTGGCTCTTTGTTGGCAATACCAACATATGTTCCATGTGCCTATGTAAGTCGTTTTTCGCTGTCTCGTCGTCCTTTAACGTTTCCAGTCCATTTCGTTTGGGGCTATCCGTTTATATATCTCCTTTCTAATTTTCGTAGCAATAAAAAATCCACTGCCGGCTTGCTAGGCCAGTCGCAGTTTAAGGAAAATCTGACCAGATGGACCCCATCCCATCTGGCGAGCCAGAGCCTCGTTCGCCTGTGGCCTCACGGCCACAGTTTCCCGGTCTGCACACCACTGGAGGAGAGGTTGACTTATGTGTACTGTGAGGTCATCGGCTAGGCTACTATTTTATAACTTTCTCGTGACTTTTTATGTTTTGGTAGAATGTTTGTAATGTAGAGATCTGGCTCAGAAGCTAGCCTTACCAACCCGCTGTCGGCAGGACTACCATTTTCCAGGCAGTTCCACCTAAGAGGAAGTCTAGCCGAATAATCGTTATACCCCAAACCCTGCTGGATGTAGAGCCAGGCACAGTCCACATCTTGCAGGCCAGCGGGATCAACAACAGATAAAATTTATAATTAGGACATCCGTAACGGCTCCACCAGCCAGGTATGACTTGCAGTCCTAAGTGGGTCAGTGACGTTTAACACCCTCTCCCCCCCCCCCACCACCCTCCCATTCCGCACAACCAGCAATAAACACCCGGTGACACAAAGTGCCACTCTTCAGAAGCTAATCACCCTGTCACAAGTTCCAGAAACCTTGTTAAACCATTGCATTATATGAGGGCACCCGACGACAGCCGTCTCTAGCTCAAACAACCCCCCCCCCCCTCCTCCCCCCCGAGCCTTGTTTCTCCCCGTACACCCTATGGGGAATAAAAACACGAACGCTTTTCACAAAGCTGACATAATTTTACAACTCGCGGAACCAAAAAAGAAAGAAAGAGTGCTATGAGTTTACTTTGCTGCACCACAAAGCAGAATGTTCAAAGTCTAAAACACGATGCTGCGCACATATAACATTTGCTAGCTCTTAGCTTTTTTAATTTACGCACTTTTGTCAATGTCTTTTTAAAGTAGAAAGACAATTTTATATCTTTTACTTTGTGCTCTAATGTTTTTTTTTTTTTTTTAAATCTTATTATTGCCTGTTCTTGAGTGTAATATTTTTAACAAACTCCCAAGCTTTTCATGTGTTTCCTTATGTTTTTGATCTGAGTTCTGCAGACTCTTTATATTTTTTTTTAATCAATAGTCTGCTTGCCTGAGATACTAGGATGCACTTACTATAAAACAATGGACGAGATTTGTATAACATTAACCGAGCTTTATGTAAGGGATTCCACATGTAATGCCATCTACAAAATTGTAGTTATGTATATGAGATCACATTGTATTAATTCTTTTGATTACCTATAAAGATGTACTGTTAAAAAAGTAAATATGTCATGGATGAACACTATAATATAATTATATGGAATAGTTATTCGGTTTGGCAGAAGTAATTAAATACAGTACATACTATATGCTACACATACACATATAAGAAAGCTCTTTTCTATTATTTATTATTAGAACAAGCTGATAATACCTTCTTATACAAATGTTATATATATATATATATATATATATATATATATATATATATATATATATATATATATATATATATATTCTGTGAAGTGCTAAATGTAGCTTCTAATGATTGTGTATTCTTCGTAATATTGCAGGGCTGAAGGAAATTTGGTAACAATTCTCTCATATCCATTGTCTTGCATGCCCATCAGTCAAATCATACGATTTAAAATTTCATAGATTACCTAGCTGCATTGTTTTGAGTATTTAAAGTGTTTACACGTGCCAATGTCAAATATGCGTTCGTCAATGCCATATTCCTGTCTAAATGATGCAAATGATCTCCCAACAATAAGTGTATCAGCAATTTGCTGTATTTATAAACAAGAAAGTCCCAAAAATTCATTTTTCTAACTGACACATAATCTCCACAAATACCCATATTGTGCCTTGCTATGATACCTAGAGACGATCGCATCAGGCGGCAGCGTAATGGGGCGGCATAAGCAGCGAAATAAAAAAAAAAATGTGAACTTTGATCTGACAACGCGAAGCTATTATTTTTATGTCGAAAGACACTTGCACGTGTCACCGCTTGATAGTTTTTCTTTGAGCTGAAGATTGCTGACACTATTTTATTTTAAGGAACTAGTGACGAAATCAGGCCCAGCTACACACTAGCTAACCTGTCACTGATGATTTGTCAGGCTGGTCTACGCTACAGGGGTGTAGTGTGCACTCTCTCTAGTGACCTAAGTTCAGTTTGTGGGGTAGGTGGGTTGGGGTTAGGACCAGTTGTACATGTTATTTGGCTGTTACAACCGCTCCCATCCTGTAATTTAGAGTACGCGTGGTCGCCGGTAAGACCGTCGAGACAATACAACGTCACACCAACCTGACATCCCTGCCACCTAAACTTACGCGTTTTAAAGGTTAACAAGCATGAATCAACGTCCAATGACAGTGTCCTGGCCCGACTTCATCACTCACTCATAATTGTGTAGCTAGGCGGAGTTGGACCTGAGTTCGTTACGTGTTCCGATTTTAATGTTAGTGTGTCTCTAAAAGGGGCAAGTAGTTGTGCTGTAATAATTTTGTGTTTTGAGGAGCGGAATTTCGAAGAAAATCTACCACAGGGCCCTGCATTCACCAATATGTATGAATAGTTTAACACACGTGTATATTACTGATATTAATTTAGTTTAAGCCCTATAATTTTTTAATTATACACACTGTGTCACTTAAACGTGCCGAAAAATCGTCCAAAAAAATACTAAATCTCATTTAAAATGACTTCTGTTGTGGAGGTTTGCAAGTCCAGGTTGGGTAAAATGTTTAGTTCCGAAACCATTAAAGTTAACTAACAAGTTTAGCTCGTTAGCTTTTGCAGTACACTACAAATCCGTTTTGCTTGTATGTTGACTTGAATAGTTGTTAACTAAAGTACAGCATTATCAATTCACTTAACTCTTTGAGTCCCAGGGGGTTAAGCATCACAGGCACAGGTGGTAGTAAGAAAAGTAACAAAATCGGTGCATCATGCGTCCATTGGGCTTCTAGGTAGGAACCTATGAACGTATGATGCGTTCCTTGGGACTCAAAGAGTTAAGAACTAAGACATAACATAAACTAATGAAATCTTACTGTGGTTGCGTAAAATGTCTTTGTTATTAAATCTTAACGGTTTAAAGTGCACATAATTTTGCTACCAAAGTCACTGATACATACGCATCTTGCTATTGTTAACTCACATTTATAGTTTCTCACTATAATACCTGGCACTTTGGTTTTGAGATGATACATGTGTGATGCCACTTATAACCGGAACTGCAGTAGCACAGTGACAAGCATAATTGCTAATCAGTGTTCCAATCCTCATCGATACGAATCTATCATAACTGATATTAGCTCTCCCTGGACGACTGTCAAAAATTGGCACCAACAAACTTTATAGACATAACAAAAGGTTGGAGTTTTATCGCCTTGATCACCTATTTACTACCGGTGTATGAATATAGTAGCTCCAGTGAAATCTTAAAAAAAATGCATTTATGTACCTAACGACACAGTCCAATGACAAACCCACGACCATCTGAGTGCTAGGCAAACGGTGTGACCACTCATGAAGACTCCCACTATCACCAGCTGTGAACACCTACGTGACTAACACTATTGATTATTGATTAACGACCTGTTATGTTGTTTCCTTTGAAATACAACAGTTTCAGCTTGACTCTGTTAATATCTAATTTGTACCTTTTTATTTTATTATCAGCATTGGTGTGATTCAGATCATCCCCATACTCATGACCATAACGTTTGTGCCGAGCTTGCTTTCTGAGATAGTGATCCAGTTTCAGTCTTCATCAGCAGTAGCATTAAGTGCCCCAAACAATACGGCTTTTGGGTCAATTCAGTCTAGTAGAATGTGTCATGCGTAATTTTCTGAATATTCTGTGTATAATCAAAGAAATAAAGAAGAAGGAGACTGGCTAATCCACTTGTTATGCCTGGCAGATATAAATACCTGCTATTTGGTCGAATAGTGAGCAGTTCGGCTTTGGGACTATCTGTTTAGTTTATTGTATTGACATGTGCTGTCTCTCATTGCTTGGATCTAACAAGTGAAATTTTCTGCATGTGTTACCTTCTTCTGTTTTCATTTTGATGTACCTGTTTAAGTAGATTACTTTGTCTTGAATTCTCCGCCATTAGATTCAAATCAAATTGTTGACCACATTCATTCATTCATTCAGTAGCATGTCCCTCGCGGAACCTCGCTGCCATAACAACCCTCCGGAAAACCTTCCTATCCTGAGCAAGATGTCCTGCGTCTGATACACCCATCTGGAGATCATCTGCCACATCCTGCACCCATATTCTCCTTGGTCTTCCTCTTCCTCTCTTCCCAGGCATATACCCCTCCATTATTGTTCTCTCTAGACTTCCATGACGTTTCAAGTGACCAAAATATTTCAATTTTCTTTGTTTTATTGTCTTTACTTGACCACATACTTTACATATTTTGTGTGTTTGTGTGGAAATAATAATGCTGCACATTAACAAATCCAAGTAACTCACGTGTTTTTCTTTTTCTGAGTTATCTACCATACTAGATGACATTTAACATGAAAATGTTCACCGTTAATATCAACAGAGTCCACTTTTACGACATTAGGAGCTGACAATTTTATCTAACAGAAATATTGAACTCTTTTTATTTTAACATTTAAATATTGTCTGGACAATGTAAACAGCCTAAAATTTATCTGTTGACTATAGAGTTACTGGCGCAATCCTTTTCAAGATAATGCAGAACCAACCCCAGCATTTGTTCGGGATGTTCGTGATTTCACTATTTTGTGGGGCGACTAAAAATGAGTTAAACTGATGTTACATTACTGTGCGTTAGATTCCTAACTACACAAAGATTGGGGCAACAGACAACAGGAAACTATAAATAAATTCTAAAGATACAGTTAACAGTGCTCTAAAACGTGCAGTAAAGATGTTAACATATGTCATATCTTTTAGGTATCTTAAATCGACAGTTTTGACAGCTGAAGGGCATTTAGTGACAACGATGTTTTCAGCACACCTAGAAGGCCCCAGTCTCTCTTAAAAGACACAGTTACAAAGAAGTATAAACACAAATGAACAACAGCAGTTTGTCGGAATACGCAGCCAAAGAGAAGAGAGACATAACTGTTGGGAGATATATTTAGGGAAGCATGCATAGTGGAGCCAACACTTGATGATTTCAATTAGAAGTTAGTAGCAGTATAGACGTGCCCCTTCCCCTTTCTTTTCCAGAAATATATCAGTGGTTCATGTCCATCGATCCTAAGTTAATAACTTTGGTATTACCCTGGTAGATATGAGAGCATGCTGCACCTGTTTTATGTAAATAATGATTTCAATTTAATATTTATAAATTACTTATACACAACTAATATTCCTGTACCATTTATGACGAAGAAAACAATTACAGTGAATCATTTATTTGTCTCTTGATACCAAGTTAACAGTTTCAAACTACTGTAATCAGAATATATGTTCTCGATGAGAAGCTGAGAAGATTCGAAAATACACTAACAGTATGTGTCAAAATGTCTTCAATCTAGCAAGCAACAGAAAATACCACGGTTTAATTAACAGATAAAAATATCAGTTTAAAAACAAACTAGAGTTGTTTTAGAAAAGGAGATTTGAGCAACAAAACTAAAATAGTGATAAACCGTGGAAAGGGAATAATGTGTGGGTGATTGTCTGCAGGCCTCCGAGGAATTCAACAGGCCTGTATCTGAGGTAAGGCGTAAACTCAGGAGGACGATTGCCAGGGGGAAGAACAACCCAGAGTATTACGAGTAATCCACTCTGTGATCCTAGTCTAACGGCCGCAGACTCAGGAGGGTAGGTAAGATCATAATTTGTCTTTATTCCGCGACTCGCCACTGACAAGTGTTTCCCAACCAGGTGATGTGCGAGACACTGGTCAAGCTAAACAAATTATTATGACGTTCCTGTTTTGACTTGAAGTGGGGATTGCTACGTGGCAAGTGTTTATATCTGTATAGTTGCAGTCATAACACTGAGACGCTGTATTGCTACGTGGCAAGTGTTTATATTTGTATAGTTGCAGCCAGAACACAGAGACGCTGTATTGTTGCGTGGCAAGTGTTTACATTTGATAGCTGTGATCATAACACTGAGACGCTACTTTTTTCTTCACGAATAACTAATATCCAATCATTTAATCACACTGAAATGGGCAATTCTATAGAAAATCTTTCATGTCTTGTCCCCAGCAGGTCGTCCTGTACTTGCGGTTTTGAGGAAACGTATAAACAGCGGGAGATTGCCAGAGTGTGTGCGCCCTAAAGGAACTCCTTTTCTCTTTGTGTGTCGTTCTTATGGTTGTCCAACTTTCAGTTTTCCTGTCCTCGCATCTCTACCCTGCCCCTTATAAGTCTGTAATAAACATTTCTACTTGGTGGATCATTTATGTCATTGGGGCCCTAATATAAATATAACGTGACAACTGAATAGGGTTTCTGGGACCTGCTCTTCGGGGATTCACTTTCGAATAGTGACACTTTGTGTCACCAGACGTTAATCGATGGTTATGTGTTCTTGGTGGGGCTAAACTCACTGACTCAAGTATATTTCTACAGACAACATGCTTAGTAAAAGTGATTGTCTACATCTCATTTCTCTAACCAGTTTGTGTGTTGAATCTATTTTTGAAAGACAGTGTCATTCACCTCATGGTTTTCCTCCATAACAACATTTCCACTGTTATGTGAAGTTTCACAGTCTGCCTGCTTACTATCCATATCAGTGATATAATTTGCCTATAAAAATACAACCGAATTTGCAACGGCACATATCCCCAGCAAGTTTTTTCCCCCTGTCATTTTGTAAATATTTGTGTCTGCAACCAATCCATTTCAACATAATACATACGTAAAGCCGTAAACGTTAACTCTGCTAATATTTCATATAACTGTGTGTGGGCGCCGTGGCAGAATTGTTTTGGAGAAGTTTGTTGCCCAGTAAATGGTTTCATGGATTTATGAGTATGGCCAATGGTTGGGAAACATGTCAGTTATCAGTTTTTTTATTGCTGTACATTGAAATGAAATACAGCATAATTACAGTATTACTTTGATACGTTAGAATTTTGTGAAAGAACAATTTAAATTGCAGCTATTTTTACTACCACGTTGACGTTGTTATTATCATTCATTCATCTGTGAGATTATTTACGCTGTTTTTTTTTTTAACTTGTGAAAGTAAATAAAGTATTGGTTTTTTTTCTTCCGGTGTCAACAGTTTTTTCCCTACTTAATAATAATATGAATCAACAAATCATCCTTTTTTTTCCCACAATAATACCTGCAGATGATAATAGTTGTTTATTACGTGTGTAATACCATTATGAGTATGTTATCCCATTCCCCCCCCCCCCCCCCAACCAATATTTTCTTGCTATTTTAGTAGTAGTATATTATTGATAAGATGGAATGTTCAGTATAAAAATCATTGGAAAAAGGGGGGGGGGGGGGGGGCAATAATCACAGACATTTAAAACCATTTCTTTGTGAGCTTTAATTCTTGTGATCAAGGCAAGCGCGTGCATACTGACAGAGCGCTTATTTCCTTTGGGGGGGGGGGGGGGGAGAGGGGGAGGGCTACCATCTCCACAATGGATTTTAGCCGCGGTCGATATGTGTAAATCCACTGCTGCCTTTGGAACTATTTGGTGAAGTCCTCATCTCTCTCATAGTGCGATCATTTAGCCTTGCATTTAAAATGTGAAAAGAGTAAAACTGTTTAGATGAAGGTATGTTGGATATTGATACCACGTGGACTAAGAACGCTTAGGCTGTGGATGAGGCGATTTTCCAAAAGCAAGGCTCGTAGTATGATCGCCAGAGCAAGATTTTAATTCTGTGACAGATATATCATCTTTACCTCTGTGGTCAGAGCTGTTAAAATGGAGAGGAATTGGTTAAAGTGTCTTCTTGTCAATATCAGAGAGGTGTTCCTGGAAACGATCAGCTAGCTTCCTGCCAGTTTCCCCAATGCATGCTCTGCTGCATCGTTTGTAGATAATTGCATAAATTACGTTGCGGGATTCGCAAGTAAAAGGTTCCCTAATTTGGAAAGAACCATTTAGGAAACTGACCGAAGAAGTCTGGACAACAAAAGGACATGTCTTGCACGTGCTGCGGGAGCATCCAGTAGTCCAAAAAGGAACTGCTGTGTTGATTGATGGGAGTCGGCTTCTGACAAGTATGTCTTTAAGGTTGCCGTCTCGTCTATAAACTAGGGGTCTTTTAGTTTATTGCATTGTAACTTTTAGAGGGAAAAATCATCATTGTAGGGTCCCCACTTTTTCGGACTTTCGTGGGATCTGTTGTAAATACAAATATATTCTAATCGCATTAATAATTAATGAGTCTTTAATAAATATATGCATGTAGTCTTGTATCATAAGTATTATTTCACCATACCAAATTTGTTTTCCCAGCTTTGACTTTCTGGCACCATCATCTGGCTTGTATGTGGCCTCTGCAGTTGTGGCTATTTCATGGCTCCTAACTAGCGCTTGTCTTACCGCATTTCTACCACCAACTGTGAGAAACCCTTGGCTTAAAACTGCGCCAGTTCAGAGAAGAATGTGTAGTCTGCAGTTTATTGGTTTTGTTCTGTTCTCTTACGTTTTTATCTCCGCATTAACAGCAAACACGAACAGTTTGTGGCTAAAATAAAATAATCTATACTAAAGTTGTTCATGCCTTTATTGTCAATGTGCGTTTGTGTGAAAAAAGGTGAAATAATACATACAAATGTGTTCTGTGTGTCTCAAAATCTATTCACATAAATGTATTGACGTGAATTCTGCTATTTACCTTGTTTATTAACATATTTATTCTCTCTCACATTCTTCTTCCCTTCTCAGTAATCTCTCTGCCTCTTTACCCCCTTTATCTAACTATTCATCCATCCATCCATTGTTTACATCTATCTATCTATCTATCTATCTATCTATCTATCTATCTATCTATCTATCTATCTATCTATCTATCTATCTATCTATCTATCTATCTATCTATCTATCTATCTATCTATCTATCTATCTATCTATCTATCTATCTATCTATCTATCTATCTATCTATCTATCTATCTATCTATCTATCTATCTATCTATCTATCTATCTATCTATCTATCTATCTATCTATCTATCTATCTATCTATCTATCTATCTATCTATCTATCTATCTATCTATCTATCTATCTATCTATCTATCTATCTATCTATCTATCTATCTATCTATCTATCTATCTATCTATCTATCTATCTATCTATCTATCTATCTATCTATCTATCTATCTATCCTATCTATCTATCTATCTATCTATCTATCTATCTATCTATCTGCCATGCCTGCCATGCCCTGCCTGCCTGCCTGCCTGCTGTCCTGTCTGTCTGTCTGTCTGTCTGTCTGTCTGTCTGTCTGTCTGTCTGTCTGTCTGTCTGTCTGTCTGTCTGTCTGTCTGTCTGTCTGTCTGTCTGTCTGTCTGTCCATGTACCCCCTCTCTTGTTCTCTCGTCTTCCCTGTCTCCTGTTCCCTTTTTTCCACCATTTGAACACTCCATGTCTCTGTCTACTACTAACACGACCATCCTCTCTCTCTTCCCCCCTCTCTCTGCCTCTCACTCACTCACTCTCTCTCTCTCTCTCTCTTCTCTCTTCTCTCTGCCAGATTGAATCTCTGGAATGTGAACTGGCTAAAGATATGCAAGCAAACAAACGTAATCAGTCTATGCGGTATTATATAACTTTAAATACGCCTCGCATTTAAGGCTATCGGGAAGAATAAAAGCAAATATTCAGACGCGTTTATAGATACAATATCAATCACCTCCATTCTAGTCGTGACAGTCTCGCCGACATCGTTGTCATAAACATCTGTAGTGTGTCACTGTTCATCGGACGCTCACCCGTCGGCTCTACTTTGCTGCCAGGTCTCGAGAAACGTATTCGTGTGTGCCTTGTTACACACACACACACACACACACACACACACATATATATATATATATATATATATATATATATATATATATATATATATATATATATATATACATACATATACACACAAATGCATAGATACACAAACACACATACACATATATACACACATATATATCTACGTATGTATATATAATTACATACACACATTCGGGTACGTACCTATATAATATATATATATATAACATGCATGCATACATTATATATATATACACACAAACACACACACATATATATCTACGTATGTATATATATATACGTACATACACATATTCGCGTACGTACCTATATATGTGTGTGTGTGTACACACAACAAACTATATACATACATATATATATATATATATATATATATATATATATATATGTATATATATATATATATATATATATATATATACATAAACAAACACACACATACACACACACAACACATATATATATATATATATATATATATATATATATATATATATATATATATATATATATACATACATACACGTACATACACACACATACGCGTACGTATGTAATGTGAATGAATTATTTATGCATGTGTTTATCATACGTAAGTATGCGTGTGTGTATATATGTATGTACATACGTATGTATATATGTGTATATACACGTATTGTAATGATGTGCCAGTGTACTGAGTGTATGTCCGTGAATGTGTAGTGTATGTAGATGACTTGACATATTTATATTAAATGATACTCACTAGTTTAGTACTAACCGAAAGAAGTTACCTGAGGAAATAAATTTTAGACACTTTGAAAATTGTTTACAACATTATCACTAGTTATTTAACCTTTTTATATCTGACTACTGATGTTTACTGCACTGAAATCTTTTCTTTACGATAACTTCTTTTTCAGAGGAAATTTCAATAGAGCTTGAAGTACATCAAACGGAAACGATGAGATGTCTTTCTTTTTCCTCTATCGGCCCCGCAGCCGTTTCCGCAACGCTTGCTTGTCAGTATGTGCAGTGTATCAAGCTCTGTCGCGGATGATTGAGACTGGTACTGGATGCAAACGGCACACCTTCCTACTGAATTCGTTACAAGTTTTAGTAATTTGTTTTAAAAAAACCCATTTATCTTTGTCATTCGTCTCTGTTTTTAAGCAAAGTAGATAAACAAACAAAACATACGCACCTGTCTTGTTTTCTTTTCCTTTTAAAACAGCAGATACACACTTTTTGCCATTTCAATTTACAAAAAATTTGAGTGTGGGTTTCTAACACCACTAGTTCTTTTATCGCACAGTTTTTTTCCCCTTCTTTTTTAATATTCACAGAACAGCACGGGTGGAAGTAATTTACATAAATTTCCATTTTAAGATATTTATATAAAGAGGTCACAAACATATATTGTGCAAATTATATAAATAGGGTAACTCGCTTGTCTCGACAAGTGCATTTCCTTCAGTGTTTATGGGTACATCAATATATAATGAAGCCCAAAACATTGAATCTTTCCAACTGAAATGCACAGATCACATTTTCTCTTGTTATATTGCACATTTTGTCAAGATAGTGTGATAGTTAAGATAGTTAAGCCAGGTTTTTTTTTTTTAAATAGGAAGATAGCCAGATTTTTCAGGTGTTTTTTTTTTTTTTAAATAACTTTACATAACGTACATGAATTTTGTGATAAAGAAATATTTCACCCAGACATAGTGTTTTTGATATATAAACATAATTATTTTTAGCAGTAAAAATTTGTGAATATTGTCTGTATATATTTTACATTATATTTATAATATAATCATTATCCATGGCTCTTTGATATGCGTAATAAAGAGTTCAAGTATGAAACAACAGTATCAAAGACTCATGGGGAATATTTTTCAGTAAATATAGTTATGATAGTTAATATTATGTGTTGCTATCTATTATGTGTGTATGTACTTGTTTCATATAATTTACAATCACACAAATAATTGTTTTAAAATTGGTTGGTTTCTCCCATAAGATGAAAGCAAATTGTGTTGAGTGTAAACGTCTTTCATCTACAGTTTTATATTTCTTTTGTGGTTTAATCAAAAAAAAATATATAGTAGAAAACAAATTAATCTTACTCAAACACATTTTCCTGACTTGCTGTTCAACACTGACCTTTCCCTCTTATTAGTCACATTTTTTATTGTTTTTTTTTTCTTTCTTTTTTCTTTGACTCCAATGTGCCTGCGGTTTCACGTTTGCATCAGTTTTGTTTTCAAATCGTATATATGATAAATTGCTGTTGCGCTCTTTTTTTTAAAATTAAATAATCTTCCTGTGTTTGTGGCCTTTAGTGTATAGTTTATTTTATTTAATATCTGCACTTACTATGACTGTAAATGTTTTTATTTTTTTTTAAACTGAGGCTGTGAAAATTTATTTCAATTCTTATATGAACTAGGCTGATGTATACCAGTAGTGGTTTCAAGTAACTGTATAGAAGAAGTATTATGTTCAAATTGGGAGTAAACAACTTGTATCAATGTCATACATACAGGATTTATGTATAACTAAGTCTAGACTATTCCTTATTAAAAATATTTTCTTTTAGCTCCTTTAGTCCCAAAAATAATCACAGATGGCCAAATGGAATAAATAGCTACTAGAGACAATTACAATGTATGACTTTTCACAAAAAGACTAAACACTCAGTGGAAGTAATCGTCGGGAAGCCAGATTTTTTGTTAGTGTATTCAGACCAAATGTACAAGGTTAGAAAACACATTATGCAATGGCTAATTAAGACAATGTCTGTAAGTCCTGCAGTATATGAGCATCATCCTACTGCCTGTGGAAACACTGAAACACTGACGGTTTCATGTGGTCCAGTATTGGTAGTGTCCAAATAGCTGTCTCTAGACACCTTCTAATTATAATCTCTGTTCTGAATATTCTTTCTCGTAGAAGTGAACAAAGGACTATGTCCATCATTATTTTAAAAACAACAACAACAACAACAACCACAACCACAACCATTCTACCACTAGAGTAAACTTCTAGACTAAATGTTAACAACCAATCTACATTTGCTGGCTTCTTTGAGAATATACCTCCAGATACTTGTTTCAAACACTCTAAAAATTTCATACGTAATTATGTAAGTAATTTAATCGAATCAGTGCCCATATTGAATACTGTTTAGACTATCACGTCAACTTCTATGGGTCAGTGACCATTGTAGATATCCCACTATTATAGTTTTCTCAGGGTAACAACTATTCTTCTGGAAAATGAATTCAGTAAGTTGTTATTCGTATTTCCAACTTCACGATAAAAGGCTCATCCCCGAATTGCTCCATTCCTTGCCAGTTAAAAAAAAAAAAAACACGGAATGCGCATCGCTATCTCCAGTGGAAAACCAAAGCCAACATGTACGAAGCATGCATCATACATGCCTCAACTGTCTATTCTAGTACCACTCTTAATTCTGTAGGTGAACGAATATGTCGACGTACCAGGGTTAACCTTTCTATTACGGTGTCACCAGTACTTATGTTAGTACGTGAACATTCTAAGTCCCCCATTGCTGAAAAAAAAAAACACCGCCATTTTGATCTTTAAACACCTGTTATACATTTTGAAGTTATAACAGCAACAACAACAAAGACAGTATGATAGCAACATACAGATCACTACTGTAGACACGTGAAGTTAAATTTCACATATACTACATAACAACCTTAATGAGCGGAGTCATACATCTTATCCCCCCATAACTTTTAAGACAAGGTCAGTACCAGCAAAATATAATTGATACAAATTCCTACATACTAGGGATCGAATCCAGATGGTTGTACTGTGGATTCTGCGTAATATCAACATTGCTACTATGCGACTTTTACAGCCAGAACAAACTACTCTCAGTTCGTAATGCAAACGTATAAAGATAATTTCCCACTAGCTCAACCATCTATCAAACGCCGATACCTAAAAACCAGTCATCGAATGCACATTTAGTAGAATATCATTATTTAGACATTTTGCCACTATATTTATTCCCACAGTATATTTCAACAGAACTAAATGGTTATTTAATAGCCTTGCTTTCTTGATGCCATCGTTTGCTTGCTGTCGCTGGCAGTCAAGTGTAGAGCCCGGGTTTCATTTGTGTGTATTTTCTGACAGTGATTTCACCTTTTCTCCAAACCTTTATTACTAGCCAAGAAATTAAAGTGCAGTATGTGCAGCCAAGTTTCCGGTCTTGTCTATGTCATATGATGGATGTGTTTCTCTTAAACTGTGTATGCAACTTTTTATGATAGAACAGCATTGTCTTTGTTATTGTCAGTTGTTTCTGTTCAACTATGTGCGATTGTTTACAAGAGGACAGACTTGACTACCCCCCACCCCCCCCCACCCGCCCCTCCCCCTCTTTTATTTTAATATTTAGTTGTTTCTATCGAACTGTGGTCCACTGTTTACGAGAGAATAACTTTATATTTGTTATCGTAGGCTGTTTCTGTTCAACTGTGTGCGAATGTTTATGAAATGATAGACTTGTCTTGCTTTTGTTTTCGTCAGTTGTTTCTGTTAAACTGTGTGCGTCTGTTTATGAGAGGACACATCTTTGTTTTGTTGGTGTGAGAAATATGGTAAAATACAAACACACGGACTCACATACTTCAGCGAAGTAAAGAACCCTTCCTATGGTACTGGCACACTGGGCATGTGGTTCACCATGTATACTGTTATAAACCAAGTGATACTGGGTACTGGCACACTGGGCATGTGGTTCACCATGTATACTGTTATAAACCAAGTGATACTGGGTACTGGCACACTGGGCATGTGGTTCACCATGTAAACTGTAATAAACCAAGTGATACTGGGTACTGGCACACTGGGCATGTGGTTCACCATGTATACTGTTATAAACCAAGTGATACTGGGTACTGGCACACTGGGCATGTGGTTCACCATGTATACTGTTATAAACAAAGTGATACTGGGTGATGCTATCAACATCACCCCGGTTGCCTTTACTTTCTATGAACCTTTCTAGGGACCATTTTATGTTAGAAGTCCAGTGACTTATCTCTCTCTCTCACACACACACTCTCTCTCTATCTCTATCTCTCTCTCACTCTCTCTGTATATCGTGTGTGCGTGTGTGTATGTGCGTGTGTGTGCGCGTGTGTATGTGCGTGTTTGCGTGTGTGTGTGTGCGTGTGTATATGTGCGCGTGTGTGCGTGCGTGAGTGCGTGTGTGTTTGTAAGTGTGTGCGTGCGTGTGTGTGTGTGTGGACGTGTGTGCGTTTTTGTGTGTGTGCGTGTGTGTGTTTGTGCGTGTGCGTGTGTGTGTGTGCGTGCGTGTGTGTGGACGTAATATAACCATAAACAAGGATAAGGAAACAATGGAAGCATTAAAATTTGGTAGCAAATGACATTTACTTTTCTCATCTTGGGGGGGGGGGGGGGGGAAGGGAATCAGGAGTCGCTGTGGTGTAGCGGCTGGATGCTTGCCTGTGGACCGGAACGTCGTGGGTTCAGGCCCTGATGGAGCCGGTTTTTTTCTTCTTAAAAAATGAAATTGGTTGTCAGTTGGAATCCAGCCCTAATGGGTACCAAATAAAGTCATGGGACGTAAAGGCGGCCGTCCTGATGCAAAGCACGTCACCGACCAAGTGCCTATTAGTATGTAGGTCTAGCCCTATATGCCAAACAAATCTAAAGGCGTGGAAAAGCGTCCTTGAGGCGTTCGAGCTACCGCCACGTCAGTAATCGGGTGTTGTTGGCTAAAGGGTTACCGCAGCTCCCACACAATTTCGCGATTTCTTGTTCTCTTAGTTCTATGTCCATGAAATGCCGGTCGTCATATTTGTGTACAGCTCTCCTTCTGGTTACGAGGACAGTCCCACAACCTTCTAACTATAAAAGGCGATTAATC